ATATATATATATATATATATATATATATATTATATTATTATATATATATATTATATATATAACTTATATTAAGTTTTCTCATTACCATCAAGCCATCTCCAGCATTATAGGGGCACCTTAGCAGTAATTAATGGATTAACTGCAATGTTTTTGTTTAAATATGTTTTTGGGTTTGTGTGACTCAGATGATAATAGACACCCTGTAACCAACAAAACCATAAATGCACGAGCTGGTTGGTGCTTAAATATAAAGTGTGTTTTAAAAGCATATAGGATTCACATCAGTAATTCTAAGTTTGGTATCTTTTAACTGCTTATAATTTATTTCCTCTTGTGTAAAAGGTAATGAAAAACTTCTTAACTGACAAAAAATATGTATATATATATATTCCGTAAATTAGTTAATAAAGAAACACTTTTTTGAACCTGTATTGAGGATGATAAAACAATATAATAAATAAATTAGAAACACAAGCTAACTGGAAAAAGGTTTTGAAACCTTAATAATAATCTACCATGAAAAAACAACAACACTTGCATCAATAGGAAAAGCAACAAAGGTTACAGAAAATCAAAGTATTTAAGTCAATTAGTTGAACTTCTTATTTTTGTAGGAGCCGGTCCAATCTGCCTGTTTCTCACCTGATGGAAACATTATCGTGTTAGCAACTGGAACTGGTCGCTGGATGGTCATGGATAGTGCTACTAGACAACTGTACAATATTAATTCTGATATAAACCAGATTATCGACTGTATAAAGTTCTCACCAGGTACAGGCCTTATGATAATACAGTTGTACCATAATAAAGTAATCATTAATCAGCTTTTTCAAAAATACTTCTTCCAGTTCAATATATTAAGTACAGTTAATATATTAAGACAGAAATCTGTGATTCAATTATGTGGTGATTATATGGGTCTTACATAAATAATAGTAAAGTGTTTTCTTAGCTTGACACTTTTAGAAAAACGTGTACAGATTTCTGCTGGAAATTTGAGTTTTTCTGTGACATTTTTCTTGTATTAAGTTGACAAAGCATGATTATAATTAATTATATTTGTTTTTCTAATCAATGGTTTATATAAATAGTGTTCTAACCACAACTGTTTATTGTGTCCCAGTCATTTTGATGGGCTCTGGTACCAAACAAAATACATTGTTAGCAAGGGATATGGCAGACTTGGTGTGTTTGAAATACGCTTCTTCTTCTTCTCAACAAATCCCCAAGGAACCAAATAATGAATACAGTAATTCTGATATAATCAATTCTTAGTCTTAAGACAAATATAATTGATTATTTTTTTGTTTTAACAATATTCGCAAATTTTCTTAAAGATGGGAAACTCCTGGCTGTTGGATCACATGACAACTACCTGTACATTTACCAGGTTCAAGAGGATTACAAGAAATACAACAGAATTGGAAGATGTTCAGTAAGTTCAGTTGTTGTTGTTAGTCCCGATGTAAAACAAAATTACCTTGTTCTCAGTATTTGTATAGTGGATAATGATGAGAAAACTTAATACAACAAGACTTTTGCTGTTCTCATAACATGATTTTAGGAGAAACTTTATGAAATGTTTAGCAAAAGTTAAAAATAGACATTTCTAAAGTATTTCTTATTGCTTATTTGTTTTTCTTGCTTGAAAAAGTAAAAAAAAGTCTATGTGCGAGATAGCATTAATTAGATTCAAACATAAGATTAAATTTTTTGTGTAAACTATTTGAATTAAATACCCTAATTTATTAATTTTTTGCAAGTGTTTAAATAAGTACATTAGAACATTTTAAAATAGAAATACAGTGTGGGCCATAGCAAACCTGTTCACAAGTAAGCTGTAATTATGTAAACACTGACTCAGTGTTACATTATAAATGTTTGCTATTTTTATTAGAGAGACTTAGTAAGGCACTCCCTCTGCAGTAATCTTTACCTTGTTTTACTTCTTACATAACCTAATTAACCTATTGACTGCCAATTCACTGTATAGGGCATGGTCCACCTCCAGAGGTTAAATGCGAGTATGCTATATACAGCGTATGGCTCACAAAAATCTGCACTCATTTATAGCAGCTGCATTCAAAGGGTTAAGGGTAATTTTCTAAGTTGATTATTAAACTAGAAGTTCCATTTCTTTCAGATATCCTTTTCAAATCTCATCAGTGACAATTTATTACAGCACAGAAATATTTACTTAGTTATTAAAAAATATCAGTATAACAAGCAGTTGGGATTATATATTTTACACCTTACCGTATGTTATGCTTGATGTCTCAGCTTGCTTGTTAAGTAATTTTAAGTTATTATTAAGAAAAACTTCTGAGTATATATAAATTTAAAGAAGAGTGTATAGTAATGTCACCCACATTAATTAGAGCACAGAAAATAGTTACTTAATTGTAGAGTTATTTAAAAGTATCTGTATACTAAGCAGTTGGGATTACATATTTTACACCTTACTATATGTTACGCTTGATGTCTCAGCTTGCTTGTTAAGTAATTTTAAGTTACTGTTAATAAGAACATTTTTGAATATAATTAAAAAAAGAGTGTATAGTAATGTCACCCACATTATAGCTGCTATATCCACTGCCAACGAGGCCTTTCACCCAATAACAGGGCTCTTCAGGCCAGATGAGATACAACAGATGTAGTATGGGTGAGATACTATTAACATTCTTGACAACAACAATGTGAACTGAATTAAGTTGATGAAGTGACATTATTCATTGTTATTCCTTATTATTTTCTTGAATTAACTTGTTTGATAATCTTAGAGTACAACTTTTTTTTTTTACTGTAAAATGGTATTGGTTCTGTAAGTCTTCCTAAATTCAGGTTGAAATAGTATGGTAAGTTACTGGAAATATGTAAGATGAAGTAACTGTAATTAGAACATAGAAATATTTCAATCCATACGTTTTTTTTTAGATAGTATAATTGACATATTAGTAAATGTACACAAATTTACAACTTTAAAAATATTATATTCAAAATTCATTTTTAATATGATTTAGTTTAAATAGTAAATACAATTATCTGAAATAATGTGTTTTAAAAATGAATAGAACCACTGGAACTAACTCAAGACTTCAATATCTTAAAAACAATCACACATTCTGTAAACACAGTTGACTGATAGGCTACTATTAATCATGTTGATATGATTTTCAAGATGCACATTGCTCTTTTTGTAAGCAACAAGCAATCGATTAAAAGCTCTTTAATCTTTAAGAGAGGGAGAGAGTTATAACTCGTACAAGATTATTTTGTTGTTGTTACAAACATTTCTACAGAAGAAAGAGTGTGATTTTCCATCAGATAATATATTTATTAGCGATGAAGTTGACCACACCCACACTGTAACACTACTGAGGAACTCCAAATTCTTGTTGCTTAGTTACAGTTTATGAGAATATGTTTATACTTCCATTGTGGTATAGAGGTTTGGAATTACTTTCCATTGCTATAGGTAACTATAAAAAATGTACCATTCAACTGTAGTAATTTGTGAAATTGTTTTCATGTTGTTATTTATTCTAGAAGTTTTTTTATTTTTCTCCAGAACTCTATTTCTCTAATAAACAATACACAAATTAAGCATCTGAGTTTTTGAGGAACCGAAGCTAGTTATTGATACTTTAATTTTCAAATCGCAAACCATTATCAAGAAAAACAAGATATTTTAAATTAAGTTTGTATAAATTATCGTCTAAAATAAAGAAAATTTTTCTTGCGAACTTGTAAGAATTATTTGAAAGAAATAATAAACAACAAATGCACACTTCTTTCAACAACTCTGTTCCTCTGTGCATTGTCCAAGTTTGGCATCCGAAGAAAAGACAAAGAACGGCGTTGGAGTTGTTCAGAAATGGTAGGATAGTTTGAGGAACACACTAACTTCTGCATGAAGATTAGTCCAAAATGTAGTTGTTTGTGTGAAGATAACTCACTGCTTGGCTTTAACACTGTCGCATGCTTAATTTAGTAGCTTGTAGAAGTTGTTCTCTCACGTTAGTGACATGATATGTGCATGAGTGAAAACCGACACTTTCCACGAACTTTGTGACATATCTATCATACTTAGTAGGGTAAGTTATTAACCCCTTTTACTGCGGCTGGATCGTATATTTCCCAGCCACAGCAAAAGGGTTAAAGTATAAATGTCAAATATAGAAGATGACCCAACCAAAAGGTAACTGAAACTCCAGTCACTTGTTATGACTGATGTGTCTGGAATGCATTATTTTAAACTAGTAGTATAGCACAGTTACAAATAGAATGGTTATATCCTAATATATTAAAATATGATGTTTTTTACATCACAGTGCTCTAGCTCCAAGTATGTTGGGCCAGCATAGCCTAATGGCTGAAAAAACAGGCTTTTCACCTTGGGCTTTTGGTGTATTATAAGAGTGATGGTAAAATCCCAGAGTTTGATTTAAAGTAGCCAAAGAGTTACTGCTGGATGCTGTTGCCTAGCTGCCTTCCTTCTAGTCTGTCAGTTCCAAAATCGAGATTGGTTGCACATATAGTCCACTTGTAAATTTGGTCAAATTTCAGAAATGAAATAAATAAACCAAATACATTTCCACCTTGCAAGGACTTTTTTCAACTGTAGCCTATAAATGTCTAGGAAGAAATCTTGATGAAAACTTCCTGAAAATGCTCACCATCATTTTGATCTTAATTTCAGTTTTCTTTTCATTGGGTTATCTTGCATATTAAATGACAAATCAGCTGTTGTTAAGAGATTGATTCTTTGGGTTTACTATTGCTGAATAGAGAAGCTGGAATAATCAGCTTCAAGTGTTCATAGAAATTTGAAAACAGTAATGTTTGCAAATGATTTTCTGTGTTTGTTTTACCTCTTAAAAGTTAAGTGACTAAAAAAATAATAAAACACATCCCATTTTATAAACTATGGAACAGTGTTGGTCTGGGTCTCATAGAAAAAACAAAAAAAACTTGTGGACCAAAATACAAAAGCTGGTTTATAAATAAAACATTAAAATACAAGTGACTACAGTTGGCTCTATTATCCATGGGCAGATTATCCAGTTTGTGAGTCACCCCACAAGCTGTTATATTGCAGTGTAACTTTGAACTGCTTTCACTATTGGTCCTATTAATTTTGTACACCGTTCGTTTCATTCTACTTTTCTTTTTTTTATTTCGTCTTCTATTTATTTTATCATTTACTAGTGTTGTGTGTTTATTAACTATCGAGAACAAAATGTCAAAACGTAAATGAGTTGTGTTGACAATGCATCAAAAACACGATTATTGAAATGTGTGAACAAGGTTTGACAGTGAAATACACTGCAGCTGCACGCTGCAATTCAGGAAAGAAGTACATTAACCAAAAAAGCAAAAGACTTGAAATGATTTTATTAAAACCTATCACTTTGGATGTTATGTATAACTTCTTAACATCCATTACATAAAAGTCTGTTTCTCAATTTTCTTCGTTTTTCTTAGAAATATGTAAGCCTTTTTTGTGCTTTTTTGTATAATCCATGTTTTTGTATTATCTCTGTCCCCTTTTCCTTCCATTACCCTGGATAGTTGAGTCAACTGTATTTTTATTGCCATTTGTTTATGAAATAAACTTATCTGAACAACACTTTCCAAGAATGTAGTACAGTTAAATATTCTAAGATTTGTAGCAAAACAAACAGTGAGTGACAAACAGAGCCACTACCAATGTTTTATAATATTGTTTGAGAGTTTTATTTAATCTTTAATTCAAACTGAAAATAATCCTTGTGATATTGTAAAAAAACAACTAAGAACTATTATTTTGTGTTATGTACTTTAATCTGTGAAAATACTTTTTTAAACTGAAAACCACTTGATTGTACATTGTAGGTCGTGTTTAAATAAAGTGTATCCAGTGTAGTTTAGAGAAAAAAATATGATTGAAAAACAAAATTACTAATATTAAAGCCATCTAGAGATTGATTAGATTCATAAATAACATGTTTTTCTTCACTTGCTATTGATATTCTGTAGTTGAAGTATCTGATATTTTTATGAATTTTCATTTTTCCTTAAAGATAATTATAGGAAATTTTATCCTTCAATATTTATGTATTTTAGATATAATAATAATATAATTTTTCGACCCAAAAACATTCAAACAGAAAATTATTTAGTAACTTAAGCTGCAGTACACTTTTGAAACTAGTGATAAGCCTACTAGTTTTTGAACTTTTCTTCGTGTTTTTTTTTTTCCATCTTGCTAGAAGTTGAATATCTACTTTCTCAATTCCAAATCTTTCCCAATCTTGATGACCAATCATTTCTGTTCTTGTTAATCTGGAAGGATCATTTACTTGTACCAAAGCTCTGAAACAGATTTATTCTTTATATCCTCCTTCCACTTATTCTAATACTTTAAACTTTTTTTTCCCACCCACAGGGTCACTCAAGCTTTTTGACCCACTTTGATTGGTCTGAAAACAGTACCTATGTCCAGACGACATCGGGAGACCATGAACTGTTGTTCTGTGAGTTTCAGTTTTGATTTTAAGACCAGTGAGTTGGTCACATTTGTTTTGTTTCAGCTCATAGAAATATGTTTTGCTATCAGCCATTGACACTTTTTTTTACTGCTATTTACAGATAAATATACCCATATTAAATGTTGTTCTGCTATAGGACATTGAAATAGTCTAATCAACTGTATAGTTTTTCTACACTGTTTTTACTATTCCATTTTTTAATATATTTGTTGTTGCAGTTTTAAATTGAGGTGTGTTCATTTTTGTATATGTATTTAAAAAAAATAGCAACTTTATATTTCATTGGCTTTAATTTTATGGAAATGCATCCACAGCTGCTACTTTGTTTGTGTTTCAGAAATGGAATATTTGTATCTTTATAAAAGTACTAAAAGATTGTACGAATGATATGTATTGTTACATTCTTCTTGAAAATAAACACTAAACTTGACCTTGTTTTTCAGGGAATGCCTCAATTTGTAGACAAGTCACAAACATGGCTGTAGTCCGAGACATCACATGGGAGACACAGACTTGCACTCTCGGATTTAACGTTCTTGGTAAGCTTACATTTGGTAGTGTTTTAGGAATAGTTTTACGTTGTATATTCGTTATAATTAGCAACATCCTGGAAAACTTGTATTTCATGTTCAGGTCCTTTTCTCCTGTTCGTGAAACAAAGCATGAAATTTCATCAGTGTTGGAAACCTCTAGCCAGCTGCCTTATGTAACAGTCAAATTTTTTGACATAACTGATGAGCAAAACATATGTACGTGAGAATTTGAAAAGACATAATTGTTGTATTTGTCCAATTTCTGCTTTTTATTCAGAATACCAGTAATTATTAGTTCTTTTGAGGTCACTTCATTTTAAAACAAACTTTCACTAAGTTTAACGAAGTCTAGTAAAAATTAGCTTGCTATTAACTTGTAGAATACTCTGTTAAATTAAGACAGGAGATTTGTGACAAAGCGAGATTTAACACTTGATTTTGTGTGCAGGAGTGTGGCCTGAGAATGCTGATGGATCAGACATCAATACTTGTGACAGATCCCATAGTAAGAAATTGTTAGTGACAGGCGATGACTTTGGAAAAGTAAAACTCTTCGTATTTCCTGCTTGCCAGCCTAAGGTAAGCATTAAAAATGTGAAATATCTCTTATAATACTCATGTTCCAAAATTAAGCAAAATGAGGTGTGGATCAGGATACAGCAGTCATAATTATATACATGAATAATGCATACAATAGCATAGATTAGCATTTTTATACCTCGAGAGTAAACATTACATTTTATTTTATTTTTTATAGATCGCAGATAGCTTTATTATTAATTCTATTAACTCTATTATAAAATATTAACTTTATTATAAGAATATTAACTCTATTATAAAATATTAACTCTATTATAAAAATATTAACTCTATTATAAGAATATTAACTCTATTATAAAATATTAACTCTATTATAAGAATATTAACTCTATTATAAAAATATTAACTCTATTATTATTATTATTATTATTATACCGTGAACTTTTATTTGTGAGTTGCACCAGTGCATAAGATTGTTGTGTTTAATTTTTCATATATAGAAGTTATTTTACATTAATATTTTCTATAACTTTATGTAGTGCCTTCATCACGTGTACAGTGGACACAGCAGTCATGTCACGGCTGTGAGTTTTCTCCCCGATGATACCCGAGTCATCAGCCTGGGGGGAAGAGACTGCAGCATCATGCAGTGGTCAGTCTGCTAGAATGTGAAATGCATTTCCAGATGAAAGTGTTTAACTATAGGGAGACTGCTTTGTTTGTTGTAACACTGGTGTCAATATTCGTAACGTCGGAAGAGTCTGTAACACTAACAACTTTACTTTATTGTTTTTATACAATCTTTAATGCACTTTTAATTCGGTTCATTACATTTAATGTTATATGGTAACTGTAAAGTTTCACAGTGCCATCTGATGGTAGAAGCTAAAATATTCTGTCTTGCAGTAGAATAGCAAACAGCGTAATCACTTATGAAATCTTAATAACTGATAACACAGAGTATCTTAGCCTGAAAAGCAGCACTAACCAAAACGTCTTAAGCCACCTTGGTTTAGTACAGCTAGCATTGGGTATGCAAGATGGGTGTTACTTACTGTTAAAAAGTAAAATTAATAACATTTTATTACAGACATTTTGATTTGAAAACTAATGTTTGATATGTACTTAAACTTAGATTGTTTTAACAAACTGAATGGTGGCTTAAGTTATTCTGTCTCACAGAGTTTTCTGTAACCAAGGTAACTTGGAAAGCATAGATCTAGTAGAATCAAAGTTTTATTGTGGCAGGTGTGTAAATCCATTTGGTTGTAAGGTCATTTTTAATGAATGATTTTGAGTTTCTTCAGTTTATTTTAAAATCATTAGTATACAAAATGATGCAGCTTTATTTATATATATATCCTTCATGTAAATACATGTTTCAACATTTTTTTATTCTCTAACTTTTGGTGTGAAAATTTAGTAAACAAAAGCTATAATCCAGTTGTCAATAAACTCTGCTTTTAGACTTGAAAGAGTGTTGGAAAGAAAGCGAATTTTAAATAAATTTGTGAAAGTTAAACTGTGTATAAACCACTTAGTTTTTATTTTCAAAGCTCAGATTTACAACGGTGAGCCCCAACGATTTGAATTTTTTATTGGCTAGAGTTCTGGGATTACTTCCATTACTATTTGCTTGAGTACTGTTTTTCATTCCACTGTTAGCATAGTTAACAAAAAGAAAACTAAGTTTATTAAAATATGTATATTTGATCTTGAATTAAACATTTGCATATAATATTGATGTTTGTGACACCAGTAATCTTGTAAGATTTTCTTCATACAGATCAATAATTGTGTATAGAAAATTTAAACAAATTCTATGTTGTGTTACCTCTAATAGTAAAATTTGCTTTGATTAGTAGATTTCACGAGTGTATCGCACACATACTGAAAGCAATATGAGCAGAATTTAATTAGATTTGATATAGTTGAGTTGTGTGCTTTAGTAACTTTATTTATACTTGTGTATCTTAATTGATAGACTTTTAGGAAATTTATCGTACTGCTGGTATTTTTTACCTGAAAGGATTATTTTGTAAAAGTAGATCAGAGGTCAAGATTATGGGTAAACAGAACGTAATATTGTGTTGTTTGTGTTATTATAAAACATTTCAAACATTCACGTATGGAATTAGGTTTCAAAAGAGTGGTAGGATTTTTAGCTTTGAACAAAATGTTACTGATAAAACTAAGCCAAAGGTCAAGGAGACAAAACATGTAACTCTTCATTCTAACAGATATTAATTTTCCTAATTGTCTTGAAAACATTATATAGTTAATCTTACTTGTTTGCAGAAACATTTATGCGAAGTATATAAAATATTTCATAATATTTTAAGTCTGCTGTTAGTAATGTGATAACTTTTTGTAATGTGTGTTTGTGTAAATAGATTCATGTGGCTTTTCCATCCGAGGATTTTCAAAAAAAGTCTTTGATCATGTTTCAACTTGGTGTATGAACATGACACCTAAAGTATGTGCAGCATGCTGTCTAATTTGTTAACAGAAAAGATGCAGCTCTTCATGATCATTTAGCTGAACCATCTGATGGATCCATAGGAGCTATGGCTTGTCACTGTTGATTAACTGAATCATCTGATGGATCCATGGGAGCTATGGCTTGTCACTGTTGATTATCTGAATTGTATGATGGATCCATGGGAGCCACGGCTTGTCACTGTTGATTAACTGAACCATCTGATGGATCCATATGAACTTTGGCTTGTCACTGTTGATTATCTGAATTGTATGATGGATCCATGGAAGCTTTGGCTTGTCACTGTTGATTATCTGAACCATCTGATGGATCCATGGGAGCTATGGCTTGTCACTGTTGATTATCTGAATTGTATGATGGATCCATGGGAGCCACGGCTTGTCACTGTTGATTAACTGAACCATCTGATGGATCCATATGAACTTTGGCTTGTCACTGTTGATTATCTGAATTGTATGATGGATCCATGGAAGCTTTGGCTTGTCACTGTTGATTATCTGATGGATCTATGGGAGCTTTGGCTTGTCACTGTTGATTAGCCGAATTGTCTGATGGATCTATGGGAGCTTTGGCTTGTCACTGTTGATTAGCCGAATTGTCTGATGGATCCAGACGAGCTATGGCTTGTCACTGTTGATTAGCTGAACCCTCTGATGGATCCATGGGAGCTATGGCTTGTAACTTTTGATCAGTTGAACCCTCTGATGGATCCAGAGGAGTTGCAACTTGTCACAGTCCTTTTGGCAAACCATCTTATGAATCCATGACAGCTGCATCTTACCATTGTAGTTGTAAAACTAAACTAAAGTTGTCTGTGTGGTAGGAGGATGTAGGTTTTGTACTAAAAGAAAGTTAAAATATTTTGTACTCTTAGAGAAAGTGTTGTTAGTATTATCCATTTTTTTTATGAAAGTTGTTGTTTGTTAAAGTAGTGAAATTAACTGCAAGGTCCATCCTAAAAGTATTGTTGGCAGATAGTAATTTGTTATTAATAAACATGAACAAGCGTGTAATACCACAACAATATTAGTAATTGTACAATTAACACTGTGGTTTGGATAATTGATTCGTGTGTTTCAACAGAATTATGTTATTGCATAACCACGTTTCAGACCAACTTCTGTTGAATTAAGCCTAGGTAAGATATCTGTACATTAAAATATAGAATTTTTGTATTAAACACGGAGGTCAGGTCAACTCGTGCAATGATTTTGTGAATCATTTGTCTGTCTTGGATCATTCAATAAGTATTACCTATTTTCAGCAACTGTTTTAAGTTCAAAACTCCAGCATAAAAAAAAAAATCAGTGTATTGTTTCTTACTGTCGCAGGAAAACTACCACCTTCTTTACACCTTTTTACCCCCTTGCTCAGCCTTAGTAGTTAAAATCCATTAAAAGGCGGCTTGTGGTGCCTTCATGAAGTTTATAAATCCTCCTGGAGTAAATTCTCTTCAGATAATAATCTCAGCCAGCAGCTGTAGAATCGTTAAATAGTTGCGAGTTTAAGCAGCTATTTAAAGTGGGGAGTAAAGAACTACTTTTCGTTGCGTTATAACACAGCATTTTGCTTCCTTGTGTAAAGCAAAAACTTCACACCAGTCGTATCAAATGAGAAAGCCTTCTAGGAATGTGATTTTGCTTACATATTTGAAATTAGGCTTATCTTCGATTTTATGTCACATCTACTGGAGAAAAAAAATGTTCAAGTTAACCGTTTCTGTAGCTAAGCTAGTATCAATAGAAAGTAGACTTGGTGGAACTTGGAGTTTTACTGTTTAAATGCTTTCGTTAGAATTGAATTCATTAGATTTTAATCCAAACATTGAATAGTAAACATTTTGTAATTTTCCTTGATATTAAATATATATTGGAATTTTCAACCTTACATAAAATAGGCTTTCAGAGGTTATATTTCCCAATAGTTTCCAGTTAAGCCACGCCGGCCACTTTCCTGACTAAAGTTGCAAGTTATTTGAACCTAGTTAGATTTCTATGACTTAAGATATTTCCTAAAAGAAGTTTCCGCATGACTCAGCTTATCATCTGATGCTTGTGCTTTGCTTATCGTTTTATTTAATTAACTAAGAGATCTCTAGTTCTGTCTTCTCTGTATATCTTCATGCCAAAAGTGCACTAAAATCAGAAGTCCTCGCATAAATGACGGTGTAATTCATATCTGAGCGAAAAACTAACAATATACACGAAAATTTGAGCACAGTAAATGTTTTATGCAGATTTCTAGATTTGAGTAACACCTTGAAACTGTTTGATTGAAACCAGTAAATAATCTCACGGAAGAACGTAATGAAGGATTCGCCGTTCTTTAATTGAGGACTCGACTGTACCTAAACACCACTGCTAAAGCAGGATGTGTTACAGCAAAACCTTTTGAAGGCTTTTTTGTCCCGTTTAAAAATAATTAAAAAAAGGGCATGTTTTTTGTTGTTGTTTTTCTAATAGAATGTAAAACTTGTACGATTGTAACAAATTATGTATGAAATATTGAATGTAAATAACGTACTTAATAAATAAATTATTTACTGACAGAATTTTTTTTCCGCCTGAGTTTTATGAGATTAACCAGCAAACCTAGGGGCCTATGGCCCACATATACGGGGCCGCTATCGTGCAAATTTAATGCTTGAACTACTATTTTGTACTTTTTCAGTTTAATGATCGTTGCCACTAAAATATCAGGCTGTAACTAAAGTTCTGACCGATTTTCAAATGAATTTAGACAAACAAAATAGTGATAATTATAGATGTATTTAATCATCAGTATATTCTCCATTGCTTTCGATAAACTTGTTCCATCTGTCAACAAGTTTTTGGATGCCACGTTTATAAAATTCCTTAGGTTTTGACCCGAAATAAGAAATTAACTCATTTTCGACCTCCTCTCTTGAAGTAAGTCTAAGTCCATCTAAATGATTTTGTAAACTCTTAAACAAATGATAGTCAGAAGGAGCAAGGTCGGGAGAATATGGTGGGTGAAGCAATTTTTCCCAGTCAAGTTCCTCTAGGAGATCCTTGGTTACTCGTGCGGTATGGGGACGTGCATTATCGTGGTGAAGAATGACCCCTTTTCTGTTTGCTAAGGACGGGCGTTTTTTGTCCAAAGCTGTTTTGAAACGCCGCAGTTGTTGGCAGTAAACCTCTGCTGTGTTTGTCTGCTTATTGTTTAACAGTTCATAATGTACAATTCCCTGCACATCCCACCATACACTAAACATGATCTTCCTTGGATGGAAGTCCCCTCTCGGCTGCTGGGCAGGTCTATCACCACGACTAAGCCACTGACGACGGCGCTTAACATTATGATAAAGGTTCCATTTCTCATCCCGCCCCCAGTGGCACAACGGTATGTCTGCGGACTTTCGACGCTAGAAACCGGGCTTTGATACCCGTGGTGGGCAGAGCACATATAGCCCATTGTGTAGCTTTGTGCTTAACTTCAAACAAACAAATTTCTCATCCCCAGTAACAAATCTGCCCAAGAAAGGCACTCGGTGCTGACGTGAATGCAACGCCTCACAGTAATCGACACGTTGTTGGTGTTTCTCTACAGACAGGTCCTTTTCAATTCGCGATGGACGGTCATATGGCTAGCATTGAATTGTCCGCTAAGATCCCTAACTGTAATGGCAGGATTTAATGCACGTTGTTGGTGATTCTCTACAGACAGGTCCTTTTCAATTCGCGATGGACGGTCATATGGCTAGCATTGAATTGTCCGCTAAGATCCCTAACTGTAATGGCAGGATTTGATGCAACAGCTGCTTCCAGTGCCTCTGAATCGAGTCCACTTGAATGACCCTCATCCTTTAAACTGAAGTCCCCATTTCTGAAACGGGAAAACCACCTCCTACAAGTTCTTTCACTTACTGCATCTACACCATAAGTGCTCTGGATAGATATTGCACTTGCGTTGACCTCTCTATGAAACTCATAGAGCATGCCATGACGAACGTGTTCTTTAGTCGGATCAAACGTGGGGTCAGTTTGAAAGCGTTTTCTTGAATAATGTTCCTATATCATGAAAGTAAAAGAGGTGTATTACTTATATGGGCATGACTAAACATCAGATAGAGATAGAACTTAATTAAATCTTGTTCAACATTTTCGGCTCAAAAATCGGCCAGAACTTTCGTTACAACCTGATACAAATTTATTTAACCAAGTTACAAACGGTAATTAGTAGTCCTACTTATTTACGTGATCTAATGTAAATGAATGATAATGGTGGAGTCCACTTTCGGGGAATCCCCGTAAAAGTGTTTTCGCGAAATACCCTGGTTCCCTAAAGGGTTGGGTGAAAAGTTTTACCTTTGTGCAAATCTCAGGAGCGAGATGATTCGTTTGATACCACTTAACAGTCGGTGCGACCAGCGGTTTAGGTTAGGAGGAATTACGTGACACACACACACACACTGAGACTTATTATATATATAACAAGTGTAATAACTTCGGGATGATGTTAGAGTTGCCTACTACCATGGTTTTTCTAAGCCTTGTCCTCGCAGTCCTTCAAAATGTGCACCTTTGATGTCATGAAAAAAAATGCCCTTTTTTCAGATATTCACGCAAGGGCTATCAGCGATAGCTATCCCTAATTTCGATTTGATAGACTAAAGGGAAGGCAGATATTACAACACCCTCCACTACTATTGTCTGCCCGAATAGTGGGACTTGGCCGTCATTTCTATAAACACACACAAGGTTCCAAAGCACGATTTTGCGGCAACAGGATGCGAACCATGAATCTTTGGGTTTGGGCTTACAGTACGGCACACTAACTATTTGGACACACCCATCCCAAACAAGATCACTTCCACACGTTCTTACAAAGTTAATGGCATCCCAACCAATTGCAGTAAAAAATATATAAACGATTAGTGTAATCAAACATGACCAAGGAAAATATCGTTCGATGGTGCGATAAATCGCTGGTGAAACACATACGTGACTAAAAAAAATACGTGACGCGAATTTCGCGTCATCCTGTATATAAAACCATAAACGGACTGTGTGTCTACAGCTGTCTTTGAACTGTAACTTGTTAGTAATTACCAGTTTTCTTCGTGAAAAGGCTTAAATACCAGTAAATATTGTGTAATATCTCAAGTGACCACAAATCCTTCAACAGACCTTACATAAATAGTTAAAACCTAGATAAAACATATCGATGATTTAACAAACATACTGAAAAAAGTACCCCTTTAAAAACAACTCTCTCACTCGCAACTAGGTGGCGCTAGAGTGAAAGTAAAACAAAATTGGTACTTTATGCAAATTTTTGTTGTCAACAAGGTTGATTAAAATTTCTTGAAACTAAACGGACAGAACATTTTATTGCAATAATTATATTTTAGTATTATTTTTGAGGCATAAAATACAACTTTATTATAAGCAAATACAATGTCAGTTTTGAATTTCTCATTCTACTGAGTTTTGCCTAATGTACGGAATATGAAATAATAATAATAATAGGAGTCTATAATTGACTTTCTTTTCTTTTTCAATATTTCAGTATGCAGATCACTTTCTGGATATTAATTTCGATCTTTTCCATAAAAAAAAATGTTTGAAAAGTGAAAGTTTGACGACAAGTAATTTGTTAGGTTCGCTCACAGAAAGAACAACGAGTTGCGTTGTCATGGCTACAAAAGCAGAGCCCGGATATTTAAGTGTTAGGTCTAGCGACGAAAATAAACGCAAGTGTTGTGGGTATACGCTTGAAGATGGCGAGTTGTTGGTCTAACGTTTATTTATGATGAAAATCACGTAAACTGCAGATATTTTTTAACATTCCAATCCTTTTGTCCATTTCTGATTTCACGTTAGAGGTATGTAAAAAAAATAGCATTTCAGACCGATTTTTTGTTTTCAAAAAGTTGGTGTACTTATGAGAATATCGGAAGTGTTCTAACCAGTTGGTGTACTTATGGGAAGATAGGAAGTGTTCCCATCAGTTGGTGTACTTATGAGAAGATCGGAAGTGTTCCCACAAGTTGGTGTACTTATGGGAAGATCGAAAGTGTTCCAACCAGTTGATATACTTATGGGAAGATCGGAAGTGTTCCAACCAGTTGGTGTACTTGTGGGAAGATCGGAAGTGTTTCAACCAGTTGGTGTACTTTTGGGAAGATCGGAAGTGTTTCAACCAGTTGGTGTACTTACGGGACACAAATAGATCAGAAATACTACTTATATATATACATACCACTGAGCTGAAATCTGAAATGGACAAATGAAAAGTGATTTAACAAAAAAATGTACAGTTTACGTGATTTTTAAAACTTATCATAGTTATACAGGAAGTTTATTTTTAATAACAAGAAACTTTGGGGTGTAATCATGTTTTTTAAGACTTGTCCTCCTCTGGCTGAGGGTAAATAACAGTTTTCTTTACATTTGGTGAGTTAAGGCTTCTTCTTTCCAGGCTTAACACAAGTAGTTAATTAACTGTTTTAGTCAACTATGTCAAAGTCTATTTTCTATATCTTACTCAACGCTAGCCTTGCATTACAAACGTTCACGTAAAAGAAGAGAAGAAGAAAAAATCTCCGACTACAATAACAAGCTTATCTGTGTTCTACTTCTACTCTAGTTTAGAAGTTTTTAAAAGTGTGAAGTCATGTTGTGGTTGAAACAGTAGCTATTTGATCTCGGTAAGCCTGAAATTTAAACCAACCCTTGAGCAACTAATCAGGAACAACACTGTAACATCCAGCAAATGGGGTTAAAATACCTTTCTTTGTTGCTTAAAGATTCCCATTCAAGACGTAACCAACAATCAGCTGAACACTAACGCCCGGAGAGTTTTACGTTTCCGCTTTTCTGTAGTAGCTCCCTCTGATTGCTTCACTGACATTCATGAGTTTATGGGCCTATTAGCTGTTTTATTGCTCTTCGTAATCCTGATGAAATTAGCTCAATAGTATTGGATTTCTTTTCTTTTTTCTTAAAATAACCTCGAGGATTAAAACAGTACATTTAAAGTCTACTGATAAACACTTGTTTATAAAAATAATTCCGTTAAATATAAGCGCAGAAGAATGGCTGTGGTCATATATATATATATACTGTTTTTATATTACATACTCAACAATTGAAATAATTAGCTCTGAAATGCAGCTATAAATAAGTAGATGTAACACAACGCATGCGCGAAAGAAACTTCTGTACTGTGGTGTCAAGTGTTATAGCTTAATTTATCCACAAAAGTCGGTTGGGCGAACCCCGCCTTCCAACTTATAGCAGTCTAATTATTTCTTTATATTATCACACTCTATCACGTATGCAGCCGCATTTCTTTGTTATTGGAGTCAAAACTTGCACTGTATTCATGAGTACAAGCATACGTGTAACTCAGAAAGGTTAAACTAAATAGGTATTTCTTTAGTCATTTTCCTTCATGGAAAAAATCTTCGCTGCACAATTGAATGGAGTTACTCATCTCGTTTTACGTGCACTTTACAAATAGTTTTTATTAAAACAATTAGAGGGCGCCAGTGAGCATATAATGTTTGTTTGTTGTACAATACAAAGCTATACAATGGGTCATTTGTGCTTTGCCCACCGCGAGTATTATAACCCAGTTTTTTTTAGCGTTATAAGCCTTCAGACTTATAGCTGAGCCATCGCTACCTGTGGGAAGATATAATATAACGTTTTCAGATTTCCGAACAGGTTCAGGTAGGCATTGGAAAAAAGTTTGAGAAAGCAAAAAAAAAAAGGTGTAAACTTCTGAATGAAATTATATTCATTCAAACACCAACGTCCAGTCACGTCTGGGTTTTGACCTGACAAAATATTGGTTGATCAACTCACATTGTTAAAGGGTCTTTTTGCGTAACGTCTAACACATTAGTAGTAATAACAATTAGTTGACGCACAACAAGCTTTATAAGCAGGTGCACTAAGGGAATGAATTTACACTCGGAATTATTGTATTGCTTTGCATGTGCTGCACGAGTTTGATGCTCACCTGGTCTTGGAATTTCACGATTTTCGTTGTGTACAGTAACCATTCTTCCATAAGGTCATTTACGAAACTTTCTGAATAGCAACTGTCTTCTTGTGGTTAGCTTAGAACAATAGCCGTCTGATGATGCTGTCATAATACTCCAAGGAAATGCCAAGGTTGTATTAATATATGACAAACATACTATACGCTAAATAAATGTATCAACAGAAGACGCCAAACTGGAAAGATGTACTTAGAAAAGACATGTTTTCTAGCAAAATATAGTGACCGGAAACACTGTACTAGGAATATGTCTTAATAGTAAACAAACTATACTGGGAACATGTCTTAATAGTAAACAAACTATACTGGGAACATGTCTTAATAGTAAACAAACTATACTGGGAATATGTCTTAATTATAGTTTGTTTACTATTAAGACATATTCCCAGTATAGTTTGTTTACTATTAAGACATGTTCCCAATATAGTTTGTTTACTGGTGAGAATATGTCTTAATAGTAAACAAACTATACTGGGAATATGTCTTAATAGTAAGCAAACTATACTGGGAATATGCCTTAATAGTAAAGAAACTATACTGGGAACATGTCTTAATAGTAAAGAAACTATACTGGGAACATGTGTTGTCAGAAGACAAACTATATTGTGAATATGTCTTAACAGTAAACAAACTATACTGGGAATATGTCTTAATAGTAAACAAACTATACTGGGAACATGTCTTAATAGTACACAAACAATACTGGGAACATGTCTTAATAGTAAACAAACTATACTGGGAATATGTCTTAATAGTAAACAAACTATATTGGGAACATGTCTTAATAGTAAACAAACGATACTGGGAATATGTCTTAATAGTAAACAAACTATATTGGGAACA